GGGGGGGGACAAAGCTAATAAAACGTTAAGGCATTGTATCAGTATTAGCCCCACCCAATTCTGTTTCCAGCTGCTCACCTGAACTCGGCTGCTTTTCGTCTCGGAGCTGAAAAAAACAAAATAAAAATTTCAGGATTTAAACTCGACCGGAGCTGAACATGTTTGTTACATTTGATGTAAAAACAGTAACTCACAGACTGCTGGTAACTATTGGTGCGTTATCGTTTACTAATAAATAAAAACAAAAATGAATGTCTCTTTGGTCTTTTTTTTTTACTTTTGTGTCAGATCGCTGAGAAAAAGAGTAAAATCTGTTGGACAGGTCAACACAAGACAAAGACCGGACTGAAGGAGACTCGAAGCTAAACCTGGCAACCCGACCACTCAGAACCACCTCACCTTTTGTTTTTCTGTTTGCCAAAAATATGAAAAAAACAATCTGAACGTTACGAGGGATTAAATTCAGATTGAGGCTCAGGATCAGCAGCGTACAGGTCTCACTCAACACAAAACCAAGGCGGAAAGACATCAGCAAGAATCTGAGACGAGCAGCTGTCAATCCATGCAGTGACCCTACAGTCAGCAGGTCAAAGGTCATGACCTCCTCCCTAAAAACAACATGGCAGCACGACTTAGGTTCATCTAAAGGAACCATAAGACGTCTGGACCAGACCAGAGGACAGATGTTTACCCAGAATGCACTGCAGCACGGTGGTGGAGGCTGATGGTTCGGGCTCCTTCAGTCACTGAGTGGACCAGAACTCCTCTGTAGACCAAAGGTTTCTGGAGTCCAACAGAACCATGACCCAGAAACGATCCAGTCAGAGTCCAGAATCTCAGAGAGCTGAGCAGAACAAATGATGGAAAGAAGAGCGGGCCAGAACTCATCCAGAACCAGGAGATGAAGTTACGGATCAGAACTTTTACAGTCTGACGGTTCTGGACCTGCGGGTGTGTGTTCAGTTCTTACCTCCACTCGTCTGTAGAAAACGGTTCTGGGTCCGACTCGTTCACGTAAAGCTCCGCCCTCTGACGACCACTTCCTCCCCTGAGGCCAACTTCCTGTAAAGCTGCAGCAGCTCGTCGGGCCGCGGCGCCTCCGACCCGGGGGTGCAGGGGACGTCGAAGTCCGACGAGGCCTGAGACGCCGGCAGCTCCTCGAGCTCTGATTGGACGAGACCGTTCCGGGCGTGTGCGTGGCCGTGCTCCGGGTGGAGGATGAGCGTGTCGTCGAGGTTGGACTGCGACGCCGACAGAGCCAGACTGACGTCCTCCTCTTCATCACTGAACAGTTCTGGAGTCTGCGACCCGGTCGCTCTGGAGGGGGAGGCGGTTCTGACGGAGCAGCAGGACTGTGATTGGCTGTTCTGGCTGTCACTCAGCACCTCTGTTGCAAAGAAGTCCTCCCACTTCAGAGCCTCCTTGTTCTCCTTTTCTTGGTCTCCTTTCCCTTCCTCCTCCTCCTCCTCCTCCTCCTCCTCCCCGTTGGACTCGGTGCAGTCCAAAAAGTTCTGACCGACAGACCGCAGGTCCGAGTCAATCAGAGGGAAGGGCTCGACTACAGGGGGCGCTGTCGTCTCAGCCGACTTCTCTAAAGTCAGAAGAAGAAACTCGATTTAAAAATGAATAAAATAAACTGGAAGCTGCTCAAACAAACAAACAAACAAACAAACAAAAACTGAACCTTGTTTTACTTCCTGGTTCAGGTTCATCTTCTTCCTGACCGGCACCAGGTCCAAACCTTCAAACAGCTCGCTGTCGCTCTCAGAGTCTGAACACACGCATTTTCAAATGTAAAAAAAATATAATGAGAAGATAAAAAACTCGTCGGGGGGGAAAAACAATTATACCCCCCCCCCTTTTTATTTTTCATGGAGCAGGGGGTTATTTTAACATTACCCAAGTTAATTAATTCACAGTTTGGTACAAGAAATCTGAAAACTTTTTTTTTTTTGGGTGGGGCGGGGGTAATTTAATTTTTTTTTTATTTCAACACTTAGTACCTGAGGTATAACTCACAGTTCGGTACAAAAAATAAAATAAAATTGTACTTTAATGTGTTTTTATTCAAAGGATGTCAAACAAAAACCGACAGGATTTTTTTATTTAAAATTATTTTTTGGTAAAGATTTCTAAATTATTTATTTTTTAAGCAGGAAGTCTCGTCGACATTAAAGAGTTCAGTCAATCTTGACAAACATCACGTCTGCATCGTCTTTATTCCTCATGTTGGAAAATGTTTATTTTGTAGTTTAAAGGTTGTTCTCGTCTCCGGCCTGAACAGGAAACGAGAACAAGTTTTTCACGTTGTGGCGTAAAAGAAGCGTTTGTGTTACCGTTAGAACGTCGCCTCAGTCTGCTGCGTTTGAGGACTCCCAGAGGTTTGTAAACGGCGGCGTCCTCGTCGAGCTGCTTCCTGCACATGGTCCTGAGCCTGAGCACAAACGGGGTTCGAGTCATGAAGACGTTCAGGTGTAAATCTGTTTTACAGCTGAACTCACGTCTGAGTGACCTCCTGCAGCGTGCGGCCGATCGGGACGACGCTCGGGTAGATGTTGACCGGCTCAAGATACGACAAGAAGTCTTTAATCTGAAAATAAAAAACCTTTCATCAGAGAATTATGGTATAATAATAATAATAATAACACATCCACCCCCAGGTGGAGCAGTGGGCAGCTATTGAAAGCACCCAAGGAGCAGTTGGGGACAGGGCGTCCTGCTCAGACACCACGAGACGTGCAATGACATGATCGAACACGTGTCCCGAGTCGGCTGCCCTGCCGCTGCACCATCTCGGCCACCAACTCACTCTCAGTTACAACAAACACTAAATTTCAGCTCAACATCTCAAAGAATGACCGAGTTAGAGTCAAGTTTGTGTTTTCTCAGGTAGCTGTGGCGGCCATCTTGAATTAAAATGGCTCCAAACACCAACGAGTTCTACAACAGTGATGTTCTAAGTTCTCTTCATGGACCTCCACACTCCAAGTCATGTGACCTCACAGCAGCGGTTGGTGTGAGGAGTGTCCCATCAGGTGTTTTGAACGGGGAAAAAATGGCGTCTTTTGCAAATTACGTCACCATGGTAACTCGACACGCCAATAAAAGTAGTAGCACACATGACGGCGCCGAGCCGGTCGTTTTGGTCTAAGATTTGTGGGGACACACGCTGCAGTTCATAGAAGAGCAAGAAATAAAGTTAGGAAACCCTCGACAGGTGGATAACAACAGGTGCTGCCTCAAGGTTACTGGGAGAATGGGATCATTCATTGAATGACTCGTTGGGCTTCGTCATTGTTTTTAATGATCGCACCAAAGAAATAAATAAAAATAAAACATGAACAACAAAGCGCGTCTGGTTGTTGCCAGGGGTAAATAAACCGTTTACCTCGGAGTAGGAGGAGTGGAAGCTGAAGCAGGCTCTGTAGGAACTGGCTCCTGTTCTAAAAACAAACACGTTTCAGCTTCGATCATCACGTTGAACCGTTTTCAGCTTCCTGCCACAACACACGTGCACGTCCTACTTTATCAAGACGTTGGTCTTCTTGGTTCTCTCTCCGAACCACATGGTTGACGGTTTGATGCTGATGATACGAAGAGGCGTCCCGTCTGCAGCCGTGCAGCCGCAGGGCAGACGGTTACCCTGAAAAAACTCCTCGTCCTGCACAGAAACAAACCGCCCATCAGCACTTCACCTGCAGGGGGTGGAACTTCCTGCGCAACCACGACACTGAGAGAAAACAGCCGAGAGTTGTGGCTGCCGTGGACGTAAACAGGTTTGTTTACAGGTTTGTTTACGGCTGTGAAGACGTGGCGGCGTTCTCTGAGGTTACAGAAACACTTCCTGTGGGTGGGGGCGAACCTTGGGGTGTCGGCAGGCGTGGATCTGGGTGCGGCGGTCGGTTGTGACGTAGCTCAGGATCTCTGGCATCTTCTTAAACATGGCCAGACTGTTGACGTGGACCTGGAGGGGAAACCAAACGTTGTCAGAGTCGGTGCCGCCCGTTTATTTTTCTGTACGAAGGTTTTTCATCCAACTCTTTCTGCAAACTTTGAGACATTTTAGCTGCTCTTGTGTCAAAACGTTCGGCTCAGTCAGGACACGGGAGCTCAGACTTTTAGCTTTTTGTAACTTTTAGACTTTCAGTTCAAAAACATTGTTCTCGTTGAAAAAATGTGTCGGCTGCTGGCTCTGATTCCGTCTATGCTACTTTTAGCTACCATTCTGCTACTTTCAGCTTTTAGTTAGCCTTTAATACTTTTAACAAACATGTTAAAACTTTTAGCGTTCAGTTAGCCTTTTGTTATCTAATGGGTTTTAGCTAACCTTTTCCTAGGGCTTCACTACCTTTAGCTTTAAGTTAGGTGTTTGATACTTTTGGCTGGTATTCAACATCTTAGCTAGTATTTTTGATATTTTTAGCTAGTGTTAGCTATCTTAACCTTATGTTAATTACAGCTTCTAACTAAGCTAACATGGATACTTTTAAATAGCATATAATACCTTTAGCTTTTAGTTAGCCTTTTGTTATCCATTGCTTTCATGCTAACCTTTTGCTAGCTACCTTTAGCTTTAAGCTAGCTATTTGCCACTTTTGGCTAGTATTCAATATCTTAGTTAATATTTTTGAAAATTTAGTTTATGTTAGATACCTTAAACTTTTAATTAGCCTTTTGTTTATTATAGCTGCTAAGCTAACACTTTGGATACTTTTAACCAGCATATAATACCTTTAGCTCTTAGTTAGCCTTTTGTTAGCCATTGCTTTCATGCTATTCATTCAAGCTTTATTTATACAGGTTAGTCCCATTGAGCCTCAGGGACTCATTTACAAGAGAAACCTGAAAAGGGCTAGCCTTTTGCTAACTACCTTTAGCTGTAAGCCAGCTATTTGCCACTTTTGGCTAGTATTCAACATCTTAGCTAAAATTTTTGAACTTTTAGTTTGGAGTCTTGATACTTTTAGCTTGTGTTAAACACCTTAAACTTTTAGGTAGCTTTTTGTTAATTCTAGCTGCTAAGCTAACACTTTGGATACTTTTAACTAAGATCTAGTACCTTTAGCTTTTAGTTAGCCTTTTGTTACTTATGGCGTCTAACCAAACATGCTAAACCTCAACTCATTTGCAGTCATTCTATGTTTAAGCAGAAATTTTATCATCTCATTCTTTTATTTAAAACATTTAATATTGACTTTAGAGAAATGTATAAATTCAGTGACAAAAATATATTAAAATGAGTATTTGATCATTTTTAGTGCGCACTCAGGCAGCAGAATTAAAGTCATGTCAAATCAGAAATAAACATTTTTTTATGTTTGTTTTCTTAAAATTTAGGAAATTGATTTATTCAAACTTTATTTATACAATTCAATTGAATTCAGTTTATTTATATATCGAGCGCCAAGTCACAACAGAACATTTAGTTCTCATTGAGCCTCGAGAACTCATTTACAAGAGAAACCTGTTAAAAAATAACAATTTAAACTTTTAGAACCGCGAGTTTGCACAATAATAAAAAGGTTATTATAATTCAGAGACCGGTCGGATCAGAGCGGAGGTTAACCGCTGGGCGGTGGCGAACGCTCACCTGCGTGTTGAACTCGTCTCCCAGGTTGGTGAACAGATACTCGTACCCGTACGCAGCCTTACAGTTGAGCCAAACCACGTGATGCGGACTCTGACTGATCCAGCTCCCGACGAGCTCTGAAATCCCTCGCAGACAGACCTCCTGCTCAGAAAGCTCCGTTAGAGCAGCAGGTACAGGACACAGACTGAAAATAGGTGAAACCAGGACGATCCAGGTTCCAATCAGACACCGCTGCAACGACACAGGGAATTCAGTAAAGGACTTTACCCGACTGGGTATCTGGAAGAACCGCGGGTCGTAGAAAGTCGAGTCCAGATAAACGGTCCGGATGTCCTTCACCCTGAGACACGAAGCAGAAGACCGTGAGGAAAACGTTTGGTAGATAAACCGAAGAGAAACTGAAGCTCGTCAAGACTCGCCTGCTGCCGGAGTGCAGGTGCTCCATCCTGGAGGCGTCTCCCACAGCCAGCCTGAAGTCACCTGTGTACAGGACGTTTCCACGGCAACCCTCGAACAGGAACCTGCGAACATTTCAGCGCCGACATTCCAACGAGAGAAGATGGGAATGCGTTTCAAATGTTTCTGCCCTGAGTTTTGTCTCACAAACAGACTTCTGTGATTAAAAGTTTTAATTAGACGCATAAAAGTTTAAATCCTGGAGAGCTTCAGAAAGTTCTGACTCACATGACCGAGCCGGGACAGTGACCCGCAGGAAGCAACGTCACCACGACCTCCTCTTTCTGTCAAACAAACACAAATATTAAAACTACAGAAATTAAGATGTTTGTAAAACTGCAGCATGAGCTGAAAGCTACATGTAGCATAGCCAACATTTTTCAGTCAGGTCATCGGGACGGTTTCTTCTTTTTGTGCTGAAACGTTTCACCTTCGATCCAGAAGGCTTCATCAGTCAAGGAAACGCACAAAAACTGATTCTTCCCCCAACAGCTTACACAAAAGTGGAACAAACCAGTTCTGCTTGTGATAAGATGGTCTCTTTGGTACACCCTTCCTCCATTGCCGGCCCTCTTCCTTGTTGACAGTCGTGCCAAACTGGTTGAAAAGACTGATGAAGCCTTCTGGATTGAAGGCGAAACGTTTCAGCGCAAAAAAAGAAACTGTCCAGATGACCTGAGTGAAAAATGTTGGATTGTGTACCTGGACTATTGAGCATGGACTTTGTTGCTAAAACTAAAAGCTACTCTGCTCCTGTTTCCTGGAATATCTTGCAGAAAGATCTGAAGCTCTCAACTTTGACCTCTAAGTGGCTTCAAACATCTGCTCAGTTCCTGCAGAAACTAACACAGACATGTTTCTGTTTGACTTTTCTACATCGCCTTACAACCTAGCTGTTTTTATTTGTTTTAATAGTATTTTAACTTTTTCATTTCATACGTTTTATATTTAATGATTGTCCACTGTTGTCATCACTTTGTTTAAATCAGGTCTCTCTTGTAAATGAGTCCCTGAGGCTCAATGAGATTAACCTGTACAAATAAAGGTTGAATGAACACATTAAAAGGAAAAAATAAATAAAAATAAAAATGATAGCTAAAAGTACAAAACCACTGGAAGCAAAAACTGAAAGTAGAAAAATAGCTAAAAGATAAAAAGTAGCAAAATGCTAACTAAAATAAGCAAAACACCTAAAAGCTAACAAAAGCAGCAAAATGCTAAACAAGAAAATAAAAATGCTAGCTAAAAAGTAAAAGTAATAAAACACTTATCAAAAGTAGCTTAAATGCTAGCAAGAAGTTAAGCAGAGAAAAACACTAATGTAAAACACTGCTGAAAGGAGCTAACCGCTAGCAACAACTGAAAGTAGCAAAAAGCTATAAAAAAAGCTTAAAAAGCAAAACAAAAGCTACAATAAGTTGCTAAATTATAGAATTAGCAAAACGGTTAAAAGCAAATAAAATAGCAAACGGTTAACTGAAAGCTGTGAAATGCTAGCAAATTTTAAAGGAGGAAATTTAAAAAATAAAAATGCAAAATACAATAAAAATGCTAGCTAAAGATGCTAAAACCACTAGCTTGAAGAAAGAAAATAGCTAAAAGTAGAAAACCACCTGAAATAAAAAACTGAAAGTAGCAAAATAGCAAAAAGATACAGACAGCAAAATGCTAACTAAAATAAGCAAAACACCTAAAAGCTAACAAAAGCAGCAAAATGTTGAAAGTAGCAAAATGCTAATCAAGGAAATGCCAGCTAAAAAGTAATAAAACGATTACCAAAAGTAGCCAAAAGCTAGCTACAACCAAACTCTAGTGAATTGTAGCAAAATGCTAGCTAAAAGTTTAAATACAGAAAAACACTAATTTAAAAACTGCTGAAAGGAGCTAACTGCTAGCAACAACTGAAAATAGAAAAAGCTATCAAAAAAAGCAAAACACCTAAAAATAAATAAAAAGTAGCTTAAAAAGAAAAATGAAAGCTAAAAAGTTGCTAAATGATAGAAGTTGCAAAACACTTAAAAGCCAATAAAGTAGAAAAATGCGAACTAAAAGTTGTGAAACACTTCATCTTCTTCTTTCGGCTTTTTCCTCTTCAGGGGGTCTCCACAGCGAGTCCTCCTCCTCCACCTCACTCTGTCCTCCACCTCACTCTGTCCTCCACCTCACTCTGTCCTCACTCCAACTACCTCCATGTCCTCTCTAACTGCATCCAGATGTCTCCTCTTTGTCTTTTTCCTGGCAGCTGCATTTCTAACATCTGTCTACCAATATACCCACTGTCCCTCCTCTTGACGTGTCCAAACCACTGTCCCTCCTCTGGACATGTCCAAACCTCTGTCCCTCCTCTGGACATGTCCAAACCATCTCAGTGTGTCCTCTCTAACTTTATCTCCCAGTTGTTCAACCTGTGCTGTACCTCTGATGATCTCATTCCTGATCTTCTCCATCCTTGTCTCTCCTAAGGAGAACCTCAACATCTTCATTTCTGCCACTTCCAGTTCTGTCTCCTGTCTTTTTGTCCATGTCTCTGTCTCCAGACCATACAACATAGCTGGTCTCACCACTGTCTTGTAAACTTTTCCTTTGATCTTTGCTGACACTCTTTTGTCACAAATCACTCCTGAAACTTTTCTCCATCACACCATCGTGCCTGGACTCTCTTCTTCTCCTCTTCACCACACTCCCCATGTTCCTGGACAGTGGACCCCAAGTCCTTGAAGTCCTGCACCTTTGTGACCTCTGCTCCTCGTAGCCTCACTGTTCCACCTCCTCCCTCTCATTCACACACATGTACTCTGTCTTACTACGGCTGACTTTCATTCCTCTTCTTTCAAGTGCATACCTACACCTCTCCAAGTTCTCTTCCACCTGTTTCCTGTTCTCACCACAGATCACAATGTCATCTGCAAACATCATAGTCCACGGGGATTCCTTTCTGACTTCATCTGTTAGTCGGTCCATCACCAGAGCAAACAAGAAGGGGCTCAGAGCTGATCCTTGATGCACTCCCACCTCCACCTTGAAGCTGTCACTCCTACAGCACATCTCACCAATGTCCTGCTGTCCTCATAATGTCCTGCTGTCCTCATACATGTCCTGCTGTCCTCATACATGTCCTGCTGTCCTCA